TCCAGAACTGCTACGATCAGAGAAAGGATGTGTTTCATATACGATCAGAGAAAGCGCCTGGGTTTCATAGACTACGAAATTGGTCGCATACAGCACCACAAATTAATTCAGCTCCTCAAAAAGCTTGATATAGATCTGAAAGACATTCAATGCATAGAGAACTTATATTGGAACCAAACAGCACCAATAAAATTGGCCAATAGCATGTCCAATTCCATACGGGTCAGAAGGGAGGTGCGACAGGGTTGTGTACTGTACATTTTTATGTCCGTTTCGGTGTTTTCCTTTTTATATCTATAATTCGCTCGCATGAATTAATTTACAGATAATATCTTGCCATGATGTGCTTCAAACTTCACTAAACACATATGAAAAGTAATAAATTGTACATTTTGTCTGTAATAATGTCGATGTCACATTTCTTATGTAAATAGCAAATAGGCATTTAAAATTAACGCCTTTGGGGCTACTGTAAATTTATTTATTACTAAATAGTTATTCTTTTATTAATATTATTATTATGTACTTTAAACCTAGACTATAAAAATTTTCCAAATATCTTATTCAAATAACCTCAGGAATAAGCAGGTAAACGTTGAGGTCGTTGTCACAGAAAACTAAAACTAAAAATATATTTCGAGTTTGTTGAATCTATTCACGTGTGTGATTCATAACAAATTACATTTATTTTAACGACAGACAATAATTATTCATTATGCGATTACTAGGAATAAGTCTACACGGGATTTTTTGCACTACATGTTGTCATGTTGTATTGGGAAATGTGTACTTTTTGGAAAATTTTTCTTTATTTTACTTCCTATTTTTGTTCTATTTTTTTCCTATTTATTCTTCAACGAGTCAGGGAAGATTGCGACAGACAACATCCAATAACTGTCAGAGATTAAAATTTACCTCTGGATTAAAACGGCAAATTGTCGGTGAAATGTGATAAACTGCTAACTCCATTATTCCTAATTTTCCAGGAGAGCAAAAAAACGGCACAAAAAAATATGTACACATATAGGAAGTATTTTCATGCGTTAATATGATAAAGAGATAAGAATTTTATTTGCTGGGGAACACTAAAACTTAATAGCTTTGTTCGGGTTCTTGTTATTACCGATTCTGAACCGTCCTAGAACTCTGCAGCGCATGCACAAATAAAATAAAGTCTTCATATTTCCTTCTGCGCATACGCATCACAGTTCTAGGACGGTTCAGAATCGGTAATAAGAGAAACCCGAAGTAAGCTAATATTTCGTGTCACATAATTTTTTTCAGAGACAATAAAGAGATAGCAGATATTCGTCTTGCAGAAATAAGAAATAAAAATATACTTCTGGAGATAGCAACCTTTATTATTTGAAATTTTGAAAATGGAATTGAATATTACCCAAACAGATTTAGAAATAATCAATTAAATTTAAAAAATATGATATTCATAACCATATATTTATAATATCGTCGGTCTAGAAGCAAAACATACATATAAGTCCTAAAACGAATAAATTTTTAATGCATTTTTAAGGAACTGAAGTAGCAGCGTTTTGGACTTAATGAATATGAAAATAATTTAAAAATTAAACTTATAATTCTTAGAAGATATGGTAGAATCCTTCCATGTTTATCCTACTTTTTATACAACGGTAGTAGACCAAGCTTGAAAAACAGTGCGTGATTTTATTAAATTTTTATTACTCTTCTCCTTATTTTTTTAATTTTTATAAAAATTATATATCATTTACGTGGAAAAACGTTGAAAAAAAATAAAACTGATTAGGTATTATGGAAATTGTTGTACAAGTAAGTAATGGTTATTTAAACTATTTATAGCACGCCGATGATGAATTGCTCGTATATAGAGAATTTCATTTTTCCCTTACCCTTTATGGATACCCCGTATTTACAGAACGGATCGACGCAGGGTCGGGCTGGCCATATTATATATATAACTATTAGGGAGGCCAAAGCCTTCGCGGGCCCCCTTTATAGTTCATTATTTATTCTTAACAATATGTTCTTTAGCATTGCATTATGGCATTTGCATTGCATTGGTTTGCCTGGCATTAGGGTAGTTTCCTGATTTCTATACAGGGCGAGTCTTAAATAAGTGCAAATATTTTGAGGGCTGGTAAATCTCGATAAAAGAAACATAATATTTTCTCTTTACCGTTTTTTCAAATAAATCCAAAACAACCGAGTTATTTCTCTTTTAAAATTTCCACTTTTTTGCTATAATTTTGAGAATCATTGGATTTTCTTTCTTGTCAATTTAATCTACTACCTATGTTGCCAAACAAACAAAGTATGTTTTTAAACTAAAAATTTAAAAAAAATCCATTTTTTTTAAATTTCAAATTTAAAAAATCGCACAATAAACCTCATAATCGTGTCATAATCTTGGGTCGAAATATACTACCCCTAAAAATATTTGCACTTATTTCAGACTCACCCTGTATATAATAGGAAAAAACTGACCAAAACGTAAGGCGAAAAAATACGTAAAAAAAATCCACACGGGCCCCTCCTTACATTGCCACCCCTTTGGCCTAGTGCGACCCTGGATCGACGTACTGTACTAAAGAAACATACGAGTAAGTATCCGTGTGTTTACTTTAGCGGGATCGTAACGGAAATTACGGAGATAGCAGCATTTCGGTGGCTGTTTCAGATCACTGGGAGTTAGCAGGTTATCACGTTTCACTGACGAAATACAATTAATGTCCCTGTCATAGACTTTCTGTTGGACAGGGGTGCATCTGAAAAATGGCTCACATGTGAAAAGTGGCTGAAAAATGGCTCAGTAATTAATCACGTGACTTATTTAATCCTTATCAATACTGATGGGATTTTTTAGGGGTTTCATACATTTGTAATATAGTAAGATATCTTATATGCTATGTTAATTACATTAAATAACTTAATTAACAATTTAGTTAATGAAATATTTAAATTATTATTTACACATGAAACGTTAATTTTTTTAACAAATTCTATGGCATTGCTAAACATCTGTCAATCGTATTTAAATAAGTTATCAAAAACGAACACCAAACACCTGTACATAATTAGCATATATTTAACAGATCAGCAAAAATATACAAAAAGGATAACCATATTATAGCCATAAACCGTGTTTTAAGATTATAGTATTTTTTATGGTCTCGTTTTAGATTTTTTAGTGAATTCCAATATACAGGGTTGTTTACCACATACGACACAGAGTATTTGTAGCTAAACGATTAGATTTTTGCAAATTGTAAGTTCGTTGAAGGACGAGCATAAGATAGTATAAAAATTATACTACCTTATCCAGAGTGTCTAAAAAATATTTTATATAATTACTAGCTTTAAACAATAACTTGTTTAATTTAAATGGAACATCCTATATACTTTAAGAAAATGCATTTTCTACGAAAACTTGAAGGTATATGTCAAAAATGGTATAATACAATTTGATAGACAATTAAATTATGCATCTGATTCTCGTAAAATATACAGGGTGTTCCATTTAAATTAAAAAATGATTGCCGTTCAAAGCTAGTAATTATATAAAATAATTTTTAGACACTCTGTATAAGGTAGTATAATTTGTATTATTGCAACACAATAACTGATCAATAAATAAACTTCAGTAAATATTTAGTATTAAATTTTGATAACCTTGGAGAAATGAAGCCTTAAAAATTTTTCTGCAATTTCACCAAATTGAAAATATTTCAAAAACGGTAAGGTTTAAGTGTGATAAACCTTAATCAAATTTACCTCTATTTTAATCGTAGAAACTAAAAATATAATAATATATAGGGTGTTCCATTTATATATAATTTTTTAAATACCACTTTGATAATTTTGATTTATTTGGGAAACTCTGTATCTTGTAAAAATATTTTTAAATTGTAGCTCTAATAGTCCTTCAACGAATCCAAAACTTACAATTTGCAAAAATTTAATCTTTTAGCTACAATACTCCGTGTCGTATGTGGTGAACAACCCTGTAGACACGTGCGAAAACAAAAATAATAAATTATACACAACACCTTGGCCTTCATTTTTCTGTTTATAACTATTTGTTTAAAAAGTCTGCAAATATTCTAAGATATTAATTATATCGTGTTTTGATAGAAAATACAGTATGATAAAAAAACGGCGTCAGCGATGGCTATGAAATGGAGATCGCTGTCACTTTATATGCAAAGTTATATGGGGAATGTCAGCGATCGTCATTTTTAAATCAAATGGGCGCAGTTTTTTTTAACCATACGGTAAAATCATACTATAATATAATTATACTCGCTATCAAAAACTGAGACAAATAAAACTTAACTGATTACTTTTATGTTTACTCAAAATGTAAAATATTCTCTAAGCTTTCTCTTATTAGAAAAATTCAGAGAGTCCGGCAACAGTGCGTCTGGCATCTGTTAGCTCCTAGAGTAAAAAAATTGGAAATCTAGAGAAAAAAGTTCAAACCTAAAGTGTGTAGGTACGAAGATGTATTTCAGGAAAATATATTAATTTCTATTGGGTGGTATCATATTTTTAAATGAAACACCCTGTATATTATTGCATTTTTGACTGCCTTTCAGATCACTTTACATAATCCTAAGATATGAGTAAATATATATAGATAGTTTCAGAGATATTGAACTAGTAAAATAAAGAACTGTCCTGAAATCAAAACTATATTAGGTATATACTTTAGACGGTTTGTACTTACTTCGCTATAAATAATGGTAATCGTAAATTATACAGGATGTTCAAAATTCTAAGCTAAAATATTTCTAAAATATAAAATTCTTTCTAAATTCTAAAATATAAAATAATTTTTCTTCGTTTTTTTTTAAATGGAACGCTCTGTATATTAAACATATATATATATATATATATATATATATAGCCACATATTAAAATAACAGAACAGTGTTTAATATTACCAAGCTAGAAGTCCACTAACGCTTTCCTTACTTTATGCTTTCCTTTATTTATGTTTTCAGCCAGGCCACAGAGTCCCAAGATTCTCCAGCATAAACTGGGCCTTGTGTGTACCCAGCTCCTGCACCCCGCAAGATGTCGAACAAGGACTTAAGTTTGCTACAGCCGATATCGTTAACGGTAGCGAATTGGAAATACGTTATGAAGTCAATCCCGAAATGTGTCAAACTGCAGAAAAGACAAGCCTACCTTTATCAACACAAATTGCATTGTAAGTATTTTAACTGTCTAATACCAGTCTGACTAAGATGTGAAAAAATTAGTTTATATACTGCATTTAAAAACCTTTTATTTCATACTGTATCGTAAAACACACTTTAGCATACTGAAAGAAAAACATACAGAAATTAAGTCTATTACGCTGTACATTGTAAGTATTTTAACTGTCTAATACTAGTCTGACTAAGATGTGAAAAAATTAGTTTGTATACTGCATTTAAAAACCTTTTATTTCATACTGTATCGTAAAACACACTTTAGCATACTGAAAGAAAAACATACAGAAATTAAGTCTATTACGCTGTACTTTTGGGTCGCTTTCAGCGGTCGGGTAAAGCGGGTGTGTGGCTGAAGGAAATATATATTATATTTCAGAGATCTGCCTAAGGCTTAGCCCGCCCGATCTTGTCGTGTTAAGCCACATCCAAAATTCCAAACAAACGTGCTTTGATTAAGGCTTGACTAAAATTTGTAGACTTTCAGCATTTGCCATAAAATAGCGAGCAATTTGTTACAAAACCATATAAATTATATATCACTGTAATCACAAAGCTTCAATCTATTTCCGTATTGTAACGGAATTTTAAATTATGTCCTTATTTTCGAGAAAATTTAGTCCAAACTTGAGGAATATTTTGTTGATGTTTGACCATCAAAAACTTAAAAATAAAGAAGTTGTCTAAAAATGGGCTACAATACGGGTATAGTATAATCACTTATCTTTAATTTCCTTCTCCATTTGTCTAAAGATACCTAACCAGTTTTATATAAAACGTTAAATGGCGAACGCTTATTTTGCTACTTTTTTGAACTAGTGAAATGGAGTCTTAAGAGTTTACAGTATACACTCACAGGCACGAAAAACTTTAAAATACATCAAAATTTAAGATGCCTGTTTTTCTTTCCAGTGAGGCAAAATATGTCCGGTAAAATGTTTTACCCCATTAGAACTGTATTTTTTAACCGAACTGGATCTGGGTAATAGCATACCTTCCTGATCATTTTTTTGATATCAACAGCCCTATAGCTTCGTTAGATATATCCACAACTTCTTTCGAAATCGTATTTTCAGTACTTATCTACTCCGGTCAGGTTACTCATTCGGTCAGAAATATGAGCAGTTGACGAACAAACGAATTACCATTAAATCTCGGCCGATAAACCCATTTTTAGCCATTTACTTCTTAAAATGTTCAGTTTGACAGATACAGATTAAATTTTATTCTCAAGTTTAACCCAATCCAAAGTAAAAATTATTGATTTAACCAAATTTTACCTAAATCGATTATTATATAATAATAGCTCCCGTATATAGCGTTTAACGCCTTGGGAGTACAGCTTGCCATACTAGAGCCGTTTGGTATACAAGGAAGGTAATGTGGCTAGCACTACGCTTCAACCGCCTATTATTACCTCAGGATTGTGAATCCTAAGTACTCATTTAAGGCTGAGTCGACCTAGGTACCCAAACTATTTTTATTTTAATAAAAATAGTCGACTGATGAAATGCCGGGTGTGGGATTCGAACCCACTACCTTGAGATTGGTAGACGAGAGCCTGTACCTCTACGCCACCAGCACCTTTAAATCAATTATTAAAACATAATTTATTCGATGTGGCCTTTATCTATGCAATCTGAAATCATTTTATCGGAAGATTTGTAAAAGTGGAGTTTCTCGTATATTAAATAAATAAAACAGCAAAAAAACTGCTAGAAATATTGTTGGAAGATACAAAAAAGACAGGCACCTATGAAATATAATTTGTACAGTCCGTCCAACGATAGGATACATATAACAGTGACTGTGATGATTGTGATAGTCTTATAACCAACTAAAAACTGTGTAATTCTTGTGTACGATGCCAGGCGCCCAACAATTTAAGATTGAGAAAGTTTAGTTTTCTCTGGTGAAATATTGACGAACCTGCGACTGTACTATCGACAAAGAGGTGTCCTTCGTAGGGAGTAAGAGTAAGAAAACGTTACAGATTTATTTTGGCGCCCAACGTGGATCTACTGGGATCTATAATTTTAAAGCCTATTTTTCATGTTTCCAAATAGTTCTGCAAATTTCTTGGTTAAGTAGCTGTCAAATTAAAAAGTAACCGAAATTAGGATAATATAGAGTCTTTTCAACTTTTTAAGAATTTTGTGCTACGATATTTTTTTTCGCAGAAATGATCCGAAATTCGGATGCAGAAAAACTAAGCTTTTCATAGGTAAATTATATTTTCTGTAATTTAATCTTTAAGAAGAGAACCAAAGGTAGAAAAGAAATCTTTATTCCCTATGAATCTTCACCCAGATTCACTGGACAGACTTTACCTATATCAAAATCCAATCGTTACTGATATTTTAATATTATATTGAAATTGAACAATTATTATTGTACATTTTTTTTATTTTTGTACAATTGTTTTAATTTTATTTATTTTTTTCAGGGTGGTGTTTGGTTCAATAATATTTTTCGAGCTGTTTGCCACCTTTTACGATAGTTTTGCTAATGGCGAAAAAAGTAAGTAATAATCCAAAAAGCAAAATAAAGTATTTAATTATTGCGATCAAATTTAGACAAATGGGTAATGTGTTTCTCGTTAAAGAAAAATCTTAACTCGATAACATCATACAAAAGATCGCAAGGGGATATTGAAGCTGTCCATGGAATAAGAATGCTGAACGCCATTCTTCTCATTGCTGCTCATAAATCGATGGCATTATTCTTCATTCCATATGTCAATAGGACTGAGTGTGTAGAAGTAAGTAACTTAAACAATGACTGAAATTATTTATTAATTAATTTTTATATTAATTTATTATTTCTCCTAATAATGCCTTACTAAAGTATAAAGTAGCAAAAAATTACAGTCAAATTTTTATTTCATTTTGCTGCTTCTTTATTTTTTTATCAGTATTTTTAATTTAATATCAGACATATCAAATAAGGGAGTTGATAACAGATCTACAGACAATTCTTATATGATTTTTTTAATTTGAAATCACTTTAAAATTTAAATTTATTTTATACATAACATGTTTAGAAAATGCGTATCATACAATATTGTATTATGATATAGTATAAACTTTTATAAATTATAATTCAGCAGAGTATCATTGCGGAGTAGAGTAACTGTTCAATTATTTATTATAACAATATAGATGTTTGCAGAATTGGCTACACCGCAAAATATCTTATTATAGTACATTTTTAAAATAGATATCAAATATACAAAGATACTATTTGTGAAATAGATAAAAAAAATTGTTATAAAGCTAAAGAGGCTCCAAAATAAAGTGATTATATTTTCCGAAAGTATGGGATTCACCTAATTAAATTGTTATTTTTAGTATCTTGCAAGACCCTTTACTGTAATTGGCAGAGCGGCAAGTTTATATACTGACCCATTCATCATGATATCCGGACTTCTAACGTCGTATTCCTTAATTGGAAAACTAAACAAAGATGGAAAGTTGAAGATAGCTCAGGAATACATCTCCAGACTTTACAGAATAGTTCCTACATTTGCCGCACTTATAGGTAAATGCAAGAATGATACTATTATACTTTGTGTTTCTAATGAGAATATACATTAAGGGTTACTATAGATATTTGAAATTTAATTTTTGTTTTATTTTTAATATAAATTAACAGTAATATATTTTAGGAGTTAAGAAGTTAGGATAAAGAAGCATTAAGTTTTTGTCTAAATTTAAATATTACATATTACTTTTGTTTAAACAAGCAATTCATCACCAACAAAAAGATCGCTTTCTTTTTGAAAATCTTTACATAATATAATATGTTATAACTTGTGGATATTAATTATATATAATTCCAAAACATTTTTTTTTCAGCCTTTTGTACATTCATATTACCATGGCTAAACAGTGGACCCATGTGGAATATGGTTGTAACACATCACTCCAATATTTGCAAAAAATACTGGTGGAGAAACCTTCTATTTATCCATAATTATTTCGGATTCAAAGATATGGTAAGTGTTAGGAAACAAAGGAGACAGTATACGAGGTTAGCCTGAAAAGTTCTACACCTCATGAGCATGTCTATTAACAAAAACAAGTCCTTTTTATACGCTCCCGCAAGATCCACTTTGCTGCTGCTAAGTGCATTTTCGCTATGGGACTTGATCGGGAATATTCGGTATACAGCCTGATGAAAATGTAGCGCAGTGCGCTTTCCAGATACACAATTTCACTTGCATTTCTTATTTGATTCCTTATTAATTGATGTTTTTTTAGTGTTTGACACACACGCATCACCTTGGAATAGATACGCAGCTGTTTTTCACATCACCGTTCCTAGTTTACATTCTTTGGAAATGGCCTGTCAAAGGATCAGTTACACTGCTCTCTTTAGCTACCATATCTACGATGGGGAGGTACTATGTGACATACACCATGAAATTGTCCAACTATGTACACTTTGGAACATCGTAAGTAACACAAACTGAGAAAGTGCATTCCCAAAACTGAATAAAAAATAAATGGCGTATCTTTCTTCATAAATGAGTAGTTTTCTTAAGCTACTCATTTATAAACTTAAACCATATCCGCCAGCGGATAGTCTTAAGTCTGAAATTTTACTCTAAAATTTTTCATATTTGAAAATCTATATGGATTACCTTATTCTTCGTAATCTAAAAAATATATAGCGTTCTATTTTACTTTATAATTTACATAATACCTATTTATACCGTATGATCGAATAAAAACGGCGCACGGTGGGGTATTAGCATGAAAAAGGTGATCGAAATTCGAAAAAGCAAATGTGTTTAAGATTTCCCAAAAAAAGATAAATGATAAATTAAATCATCTCTGCCATGAATGGCGTTGCTATGGGTGTGTTTCATGGTACAAAGAAAACAAGGTATGATCGATAGCGGCCCCAATTTCGTTAAGTTTGCGCATACCACCTGTGACGTCATACGCCATACAAAAAAATATCCATCTTGTGCAATTGCCACTAATAAAAAAAGACCTAAAATAGGGAAGAATTAGGACATAACCCTAAAAGTTATGTCAAATCATCGTGCTTGACATTTGAAAAATTATTCTGACATTTATTGTGTCATCTGTTTGACAATTTGAAATTGGCGCGCGGAACTTGCCGACCAATGGTGCCGTTTATCACCTGTGACGTAGTGACCAACCTGCGCAATATCATACCTTGTATTCTTTGTATCATGGGTGTGTTTAGTTGCATTCATTTGTTTCAACGAAACGTCAAAGTTGTTACTTCTCACAGATAAGAGGTAAATGGCTAAATTTTATGTTTAAAATTATAAATTGTTGTTGTTCTTGTGCTCTTTTTACGTTTATTTTATCGTTTTGATTGAAAATGGCTCAGCAAGCTGCAGGTATGTATTCTACAAAAACATATTATTTATTTTGATATTCTCTATACTAACGATTTTTTTTGCAACTAAAAGTTAGGCGTTCATAAAATTTGATTAAATTTGTGACATTTTTATTATACTTAGACATTTAGTTGCGCATTTCGAAGAATTCAGCATATTGTCTATATACGTTTTACTTAGTAAACATTGGGCTTTCATACAGTAAAATAAAATACTGCACCTTTTTGCGATTTTGCTGATAAAATGAGAAAAACATTCTTGGTTTCCTCTAATTTGCCAATCAGTGATATACTAATGCGAGGTGTAAACCGCGATGGCATTGTTGTGTACAAAGCGATCGCATTAGTGTCATTAGCAGTATAACACAATTTGGCATTAGTAGCGACTTTAGTGGTATGGGCATTGCTCGCGGATTAGTCGTAGCATTAGTAGTAGTAGTTGCGATATTACTACTGGCACTGACCGTAGAAACACTGGAACAGTGATTTTTCTTTCTTTTTATAAAATCGACGAATTATCCTTTATTTTGTTCATATTATTTCCTCTTTAATTGAAAATAACAATAATTTATATAAGGTCTTCATAAAAAAATTTCGATCAACTATCAGTGTCAAATACCCCACTGTGCGGCGTCAGCAATGGCTATGAAATGAAGGTCGCTGTCATTTTATATGTAAATTTATATGGTAAATGTCATCAGTCGTCATTTCCCAGTCAACTGGACGCCGTTTTTTCTCGATCATACGGTATAATAGTCGCATGAGAAAAAAAATGAGTCTAAATTCTAGTTTTTTTTTAGAATTCAACAACTTTTTGAAACTGCCGATTATATGTATATTCTGCCTCCACACAGGGCTACTGTATACATTATGGGTGTATTTATGGGTTATTTATTGAGAAAATACAAACATGTTACGTTTACCAAGGTAAGTAAAAGCAGATATAGTAAAATATGATGACCTATCGCTTTTTAAAACTAATAGGTATTTCGTCAACTGACAAAATTAAGTTATATTTTATAAAGAAATGTTTAGAGTTATAAAGCAACTTTGTTATTTTCTATATCAATTTCTAATGGTTTTTAAGACATAAAAATGTTGAACATTCATAACCACATGATATTGGAATGAGTATTAGTAAAATAATGATTTCAAAAACCTACTTCGGACTTCTTCAGTTGAAATATTTAATATGAGAATTAAATTTATATTAATTAATATTGTTGCGGACCCGTGTGAACTCGGCCTTAGGCCTGGCCACTCGGCTATGACTCATACGCCCGGCGACGCCGACCTTTTAGAACGAATAAGAAGCTGGTGAGACAAAGAACGCGGCTAAGGGCTCGAACTCACTGACGAACGACCTGGCCGTCGGCTGGCCGGATGTATTGCGTTTTTAGCTGCGGCCAGATGAACGACCAGTTTCAACTGAGTTGTCAAATCTAACGATTTTTTACGTTTTACCAATTAGAAAATATTGTTTCAGAAATGTTAAAATATCCGAGTTAACTAAAAAAGCGAAGTTGCTATTCACAACAAACAAAAATCATTGTGTACGCGCGACCGACAAAAAGGGAGATATTCTGTTTCTTTTTTCTACTGATATGGCGCCCTTATCGACTTTAGAAGTAAACATATTAGGGCCATCGTAAAAAAAGATCGTCAGACACTGGCTCTAAATATAAGCAGGTAGAAAGTTTAGCTTCCAGTTATTTCAATGTTTACAATATAACGAAGAATCAAGAACCAAACCAAACCAAACCAAACAGTAATTACTTCTATTTTTATGAATGTTTAAGTTACTTTCTTAATTTTTTTTTCAAAATAATGTACCTACTATGAGTCTAATGAACCCTGTTTGAAAAACGTTAAATTAAATATAATATTTAAAATACAGTTGTCCTCCTTGTACATGACTACAATATAACTAAAAAAACTAATTTAATAAAAAAAACAAGTGGTTGTAGAAAAACTTTAAATATTATTTTTTTTTTATTTTTTAACATCGAAACTCAAAACCAAACCATAGGTATAATAACAGGTATCATACCAACCATAAATAGAGTAGGTGTGTCATATAAAAATGTTTTGAGTTTTTCCTAGAATCGACCCTTGATAAAAAAAGGGATTATATTTAAGTTTACCTTTGATCCAGTCTGTATACTATTTCTTTGGATTTTCTGCCTGTGTGCAAAAACTACACTAAAACACTATATCTTATAGAAAATAAAATATTGTGCCTTGAATTTGAGGGATTTCATCTGAAAAATTATTAATTTGGAAGAAAACTGGCAACAAGCGGCAGAAAATAATAATATTTCCGTGCAGTCTTCTGGTCGCAATGACCAACGGACGGCTAGGACGTTAGTGTGCGTTATATCATTTGATTTAATGGTTTTAGAGGTAGCTGCGGCCTGGCCGGTGCGACCTGGCCGTTGCGACCTGGTCGTCAGTGTGTTCGAGCCCTAAGAATTGTCGAGACAAATCTGGATTGTCTGTTGCTCTCATATATAATCAGACGCCTGAGGCCTGAGGACGACAGAGAAAAACAACCGGTCGACGCGTAGAGTTACAATCGCCGCACTAAATTCAAAATGAATTCCTTTTAGATAAATAGTTAGATAAATTGTAAATAAGTTATAAATAGTTCTTTAAGTCTTTTTAATCGTTAAGGTTTGTTAATTAGTGTTAAATAAATTGTTTTTAAATAAATTGAGACTTTCTATCCACATGGAACCGACGAAAAACGTAACAATATTATATGAGAATTTTTAGAGTTAACTTTTTTTTTATTTTAATTTACATCATTTTTTACAATTATTTTGTAATATATGGTCATGAAAGGGGGGAGAGAACATTAATGTAAAGTATGATCTGCTTTACAAGAAAAGCAATAATAAGTATAAAAAATACCGTATGATCGAATAAAAACGGCGTCAGCGATGGCTATGAAAAGCCAACTGGACGCCGTTTTTTTCGATCACACGGTACATGAGCTATATTTGATATCGCTTATGCATTTTTTATCTTATACTAGATATTATATAATACTATTTCCGTTCTGTAAATGTATATTTTGAAATAAAAATAGCATTTAAAACCTTTAGAAAAATAGGATCATAAATAATTTTCATAATTAAATAATAAAGCACAGACTGAATTTTAAAATTGCAATAGAATTTATTTGGAATTAAAACCGTTTAAATTAAAATTATGTTTGTTTAATTTTAAAAAGCGAAATACTTGGTATTTATAAATTTTATACTCATATAAGAGATAAACATAATATTCTCTATTTCAGGCTCAATTAAGAATGGGAAACACGATAGCTTTGTTCAGTTTCCTATTATCATATTTAGGTCCATCATTTATGGGCAATATTGATTATGTGTACAATCCCACTCATGCAGCACTATATGCCGCTGTCTCTCCTATTTTATGGGTTGGATCATTTTGTTGGGTAATATTTACTACGCAATTAGGCTATAAAGGTAATTTTGCGCTAGAAATATTACTTTTTAAGATAAAATTAAATATTTATTTTCAGGAATTATCGGCAACTTCTTCTCAATGCCTGTATGGACTTTATGGACAAAAGTATCTTATACCGTTTATCTCACGCAATTTCCGATCTTCTTTTACAACGTCGGTATTACAAGAGCGCCACACGAATTCGGTTTTTTTACAAAAATGATAAACCTTCAAGAACATGCGTGGATATTAGCTTTATCTGTAGCTTTAAGTTTAACTTTTGAAATGCCTTTTCAAAATATTAGGTCTCTGCTTCTCAAGAGGTCAGATACTATACAGAAAAATCAAGAAAAGAAGATACTGTGATAACACTAAAGACCATTATGTAACGCTCTAGTTTACTCAATGATTATTTGTTGTAACAAAGATGAAAATGTTCATCAAAAAAACGCTGCCAAATAATGAATTGAAAATGTAATATAGATTGCCATGTAAATAAACTATTATTTATTTTCCATGTATTTTTATTACCCTTACATTATAACGTTCTTAATTATATTAGTTTATTCCAAAAAAAAAAAAAAAATCATATGACAGAGTACACTATTGAGAAAATTAATTTCACTGTTTCAACGCAACCTTTTTCTCACTTTTTTCAGGTCTCGTCTCTCTACCATGTAATTTCTCACCATTAATGTCAACTGCAAAATTATAGTCAGTTTCTTGTGCCAATGCTTGGTCGATAGCTTTATCAATATTTTCTGCAGTAATAAAATCCACAGAAGCCTCTTTTTGTTTCCTAACTATTTCTTCTACTCTTTCCAAAGACTGTTGTTCCTTTTCTAATTCCAACTCAATTCTCTGTTTGGCAAACTTTATATCTATAACAAAATAAAACAATATAGATTTTACAAAAGTTGACTTCCTAGATGACCACAGTCAATCAGCTAGTAAGTATTTTTTATATACAAAATTTTGTAATTTATATTAGGTATTTACCAGACTAAGAAACAGAAAAATAGATCATCAATTAATAATAAAATAAGCTGTACGAAGAAGTCAACTATCATCGTTGTTGAGATAATATTTTTTTTTAATATAAATGCATGGTTTAAAAGTTGGTTAAGGTATCTCAAAATAAAGTAGTATAAAGTTTTTTTTTAAATTACCACTCCCATTTTTCTCTACAGAATTGGATTCAACATAAAATTCTGTATATTGTACACTATTTTTTTATTTAAAGGAATATGCTGTGTTGTCATGTTATTTCTTATTTACTAAAACTTTGCAGCAAACTAAAAACAGCATATCTGAATTTAACTTTTACTTATATGAAAGTTAAATTATTTGCTACTGATTGAGTAGGGTTATTAGATCCGATTATAGTATCAGAAATATATTTGAGATATAAAAATATATATAATACCATCCTCTAGCTGTTTGGCTATTCTTTGTTCCCTGAGAATTTTTTGCTCAGCATTCCATTTGTCATTTATTGCTGAACATCTTTCAAAATCTTGATTAATTATTTTCAACAATTCTTCTGGATCGTGAGTGGTCTCTTCAATCTTAGAATGTTTATTGATAAGATACCGTCTTACTGACTTCAAATGATTTCGATAATTATTAAATAGTCTTTTAATTTCAATCTGTTCATCTTCGGGAAGTATTGGTCTGAAAAATAATTATACACTGTATAATAACGTAATTTTCAAACTTTTTCTTATTAAATTACGTTTGAGGAACACGGAATCGTTTACTTTTAGCTGTGGGGACACATCTGGGTTTACGCCACCTTATTGATTGTAAATTTACATAAGAATTGTTTATACTCTCCAATGATATACCTGCCAGATTTAATTTTCGAAAAACTGCTAACATATTTAAGTGGTTAATATTTTTAAAAGTAATTTCAGAGGTAATTTTCTTCAGATAAAAAATTATTAAAAAATATAAAATATATAGGTTAGTTTGTCTCTGTAAGCTTCAGAGTAATTAATTATGTTGCATAATGTTGTCATTGAAAATTTTGGTTCTGTGGATTTTTAAGGTGGATTTATATATGATGAGTTTTTATAAGTATTTTGTGATTTAATATTTGAATCAGTAACCCTTTTTCGAATCCCAAAATGAGAAGAACTTCAATCATTTGCGTTTAATATTAATAATTTATGATAATTAGAATTTTAAGTGAATTTTGTAGTTTATACCATAGATAAGATACGATTTTGATCATTTCGTCAATAGAATAGTGTTTTTAAGTGCATCTTTGGTTTAGTGTGTGGTTTAGTGTCTCTTTTGTCTATGGTTTAGTGTTGTGATTTTCAGCTGTCTAGAGATTAGAGATTATTAAAAGATTTTTTTAAATAATTATTTAACGTAAAAGTCCCAGTTGTCTTTAAATAATTATTATTATTTGTAATTATACTGTAAAGTTTCTTTATTAAAATGAGTAATATCAGCCCTACCGTAGGTGAGTAACTATTTTCATATTTTTAAAGCATTTATGGTAATTTCTAATTTATGTTATAAATATCTATATCTGAGAAGTTGACCATTAGGGTAAAATTACATTTATGGAATATCTGTTTTTACCTTTTTCCCTGTTAACGATTTATTTGTAATATTTTATTGCCGTATGTGACGTGTCAACAAAATGAAATATTAGGTATAAAAACATTATCTCCCACGCTCATTTGAGAGCCACAGGACTTCAGGTACTATGTAAAATTGTTGATCAGGAATAAAAGGAGTTTCTTCGCTGAACAGTTTAATAAATGAAGAAATTAATATTACAAAAATGTAGTTGGATATTTTTGAAAATCAAAGTTGCAAGTTTGGTTGCATATCCTAATCTAACAGGTATTTTGCGCTGCTCAAAGTGAAAGTAAAATTACAAAAAACTAAACGGTACTTTGTTCCTCATTCTTATAGCGTGATGTGGTAACGTTGTAGTACCAAGTCTTTACAGCTGTGTTCATAAGTAGAACCAGCAAAAATTTTATTTTAAAATTCAGAATGTGACAAATAAATAGTGATTTATTTAAAAAATGATTGATGAGAGTGAGAGTCCAAGCTTAGATTACATTGAGGACCCGTATTTTAATCCACAAGCTAGTACTACGACGCCAAGTCTTGATGACCTGGATGATACAGACTCTCTAGATGATTATGATCTGTTAGAAAACGAACTTGATATATTTGATTTGAGACAGCTGGATTTTGATGAAGTGACCAGCCACTATTTACATGATGATGATGAATCTATAAATGTAGAAGCAGAATTTTTTAATGTTAAGAGAGCAAATGCTATAATAAGGGCATTTTTCAGAAACAAACTTAAAAAACAAGTCAGGGTACGATATAGTGATTTAACAAAGCCTTATTTGGCTAAACTACCAAAAGACAATAGCTTTAGGAAATACTTAGATATTAGTTTAAGTCAAAGTGGTAAGTTAAATTTTTGTATAACAAAAAATGCATATATATGTACCTATAATCTAACAAATTTTGTTATCAATAAAATACGTTGGACTGCACCAAGTTTTAATGTTTAAATCCTTTGAATTATTTTGCGTCAAATGTTCAAGTCAAATAATATCTTTATCTGAGAAATTAATTAATTTTAATCAGTTTATTCAAAGTTTAAGAATATCTTTGCCAACATTAAATAAATATTAAATGATTAACCTAATTAATATTTATTAGTTATTTACAGTATTATACAGGGTAGTGAGGGAACAAATATTCGCATTCGCAAATATGTTGTACAGGGTGTTTCAAAACAAATGTGAATAACTTTAAGGTGTTAAAAGCAAGAGGTACTTTGTTATATAAACGTTTATATAACAAACTACCTTTATATTTACCAAGGAATCACTTAAACTGTCTCGCATTTTGTCTTCAAACACTCTATATATACAGGGTGGTCCGAACTGTATTCTGGAAACTTCGGCAACATATTCTGCAGACACAATAGATCTGAGAAGGTCGCAGTGGATCAGGCCGAAAGCCACCTCTAAGAATCTATATATTTATCTAATGAAACTCGCTTTTATTTTTTTTCTAGAATCCGAATATCATTTAATATTGTATAGGGTAAAATATTTTGAAAATAGTCTCCTTACTATAGCCGGCACCTTTTACAGTATAAAAAATGGAATAAAAATCTTTAATAGTAAACCCGATGGAGCTTTTTCGGAACATTGGGCCACCCTGTATATAATTTCTATGCTTGTGTATTATATAATCGCGCCAATTTTACTACTTATTTTGTAATGAACCAAAAGTGTGCTTAACTAACGGCAGGTTTTATTAATCATCTCTAACGCAATGTTTAGCGCTAGTGTATTTATTTGTAGCCCAAACAAACTAAAAATAACTTTGACCCCTTTTGATGATTCGGTTTATGTCAGATGTGTCAAACAAACTTACATCTTTGAAAACTAACTAGTAAATTCTAGGCAATTTTTATTTAAATTGTTTTGTGGTAAAATGCAGCTTGTAGGTAAACATTTTCTATTACTTATTCATAGTTTACGTATGTAGGTAGGTATATTAAATTTTATCATGTGTAGAGCATTTTTACGAAATTATTTTCCCAACCTTGTTCGTTTAGTTTAAAGTAAGTTAAACATTTCAATTATCAATTAAGTCATAACACAGAATATTATTTTTTAGTCTTTTTTGTACATCATTTATTTCAATTTTCATGTCAGTTATCAATTTATATTTACGTAATAGATATTTTTGATTGTCATAAAAAATATGTAATTGAGTTTTTTATTTACATATATGACGTAGATATTTTGTAAAATATTTATGCAGAGTTTTTGGTGGTTTTTGTTTAATTTAGATAAAAATCTGAATGGTTTAAGTTACGGATTCCATCTTATGGCACATCTGGTATAACCGGAAGCAGCTATCAATTCTATCTACAACTACCTTTGTGGCCCACCTCAAATTCGGCTTTTAACCTAAAGATCTGTATACAGTATGTCCTCGGATTATCTTTACTAGAGGAAAAACTTATTATTGACATTTTAAGAAAAATGCATTCTTCATAAAAAAATTTGCTTGTTCTAAAATGGTTAATCCCTTTTAAACTTTTCCGAATTTTCATACCGTTTAAGAGAAAATTAAAAAAAGACATGAAAATAGAGTTGAGTATAGTTGAAATATAGTTGTTTTGATGCGTTTTCATTTTTAATCATGTTTTTTTTTTAATTTTCTCTAAAACGGTATGGAAGTTTGGAAAACGATTTTTAAATGGCACCCTCGGTATATTTTTACTTTATTAGATAGAAAATGATAGTCTGAATAGAATGATATATCATATGTCAACTTTGACATTTTCGCTTAAAAAAAGATAATGTTATTTTAAATTTCAATCTAGAGTGCCATGGCTGTGTTAAAAACACTAATTTTTAATCAAGGAGCCTTGGAAAAATAGTTTTGGTCGTTTTATGTTTTTCATGTCTTGCCATGTTTTTTTTTTAATTTTCTCTAAAACGGTATGGAAATTTGGAAAACGATTTTTAAATGGCACCCTCGGTATATTTTTACTTTATTAGATAGAAAATGATAGTCTCAATAGAATGATATATCATATGTCAACTTTGACATTTTCGCTTAAAAAAAAATAATGTTATTTTAAATTTCAATCTAGAGTGCCATGGCTGTGTTAAAAACACTAATTTTTAATCAAGGAGCCTTGGAAAAATAGTTTTGGTCGTTTTATGTTTTTCATGTCTTGCCTTGAGGGCCGATTCTGTAAACATATTTCCTGTCTAGTGATCAATCGTATACAAATAGCATAGGCTAGACAGGAAATTTCTTGCTACGGAGCTTACAGAATCCCACTGCTGGTCAGTTAAAAGATGCCCAAATGGTATTTTTAATCATATCTTAATTTTTTCAAATGGAACAGGGGTGGCTCATTAGCATATTTGGAAAAAACATTTTTTTACGATTAATTTGGTATCATACACTTGATATTTCGAGTAAAATTATTATTAAAATATTAGAATTTGACATATGATATGTCATTCTATTCAGAGTGTCATTTTATATCGGATAAAGTAGAAATATACCGAGGGTGTCATTTAACAATCAAAAGTTGTAGTTTGTAGTCCTTTCGGGTAAAATAGGAATTGACATAAACAATTGAATACGTCAATAGATCCTAATTTATGTCATAGGCTAACATACCAAATCCTTTGTTTATCTGAAAAAATAAAAAAGTTATAGAGGTAAGTCACTTTTGAGACCCATACGGTATACATAGTAATAATACTCGTATTATGGATAGTTAAATAAATACTTTTTATGGCTAGATAGTGAAAAGAGGAAATACAATTTACTTAAAAACGGGACTCAGAACCTTAGTGTCTCAGAACTAAGGCGATACATATGGCAACCCTGCATACGCGTTCAGTTTGGTACATTTAAATCCGGATTGCCACTGCAATTTTTTATGTGGAATTTATTTTCAAGGGATTTTAGATTCTGGACTCTCTAAAAAATAGTGCAGTTACACTATGTGTTATATAACTATGTCTATTTTCAGAGGAAGCAATGGCTGCCGATCACATTGCTCCCGATTTGTCGCATCTCACTCCCGAGGAGAAGGAGCAACAGGAGAAAATTTGGCGAGAAGAACTCGCCCAAATCGAGGAAGAGATCACCACCTTGAGAACCGTGTTGACTTCGAAAATGCGACGAAGCGCCGAGCTGAAGAAAAACTTAGGCATCACGTTTTTGAAAGAGGTATCGGACGATATCAACCAGGGAATCAAAAATGTCAAAGAGAGCAACGTGTAAGTTATTTTTTCGTTATTAGTTTACGATTATTAATTATAACGATTAAGTCCCTAATAACAACTTCATTTTTTCTTTAGTTTGTAGTTCATGTTTTCTGCGATTTCTGTCATGTAGAGCCACTTCGTTGTCATATAAAGATTAACATACTTAGATAATTAACTGTTTTTATGTACGCCATATACTGAAGGATACATTTTTATCAAAGGGGTCCAAAATAACCTGCAATGAGAATTGGTTATCTGTCTTTACAAAGCACTTTTGATTAAAAAACTGACCATTTCCAGCTTTTTCCAAATAAGTTCTTTATAAACTCACCGGCAAAAAAAACCGGCCACTAAAAACTAGTCCCAATTTCAAAGTTGGATTTCTCGCAAACCACTCATTAGATTTTGATGATTTTTCTTTTAAATTCTAAATTAATACTTTCTTAACGGATGTGAAACGAAACGTCTCGGAAAAATGCTTCATAGGCAGAAAGTTTTATGTGTAAATAAGGCGACATAGGCGAAACCAGATTTATGAGTATTTGCAATATGACAACGGTTGTCAAATTAAAAAATGCCATTATCTGTGACAGATGTTGCTCGTATTGTGGCTTTAAGTAAGGATGGCCGAAGTCAACGTTATGAGTCTGATACCCTGGGTATACCTCTAACAACAGTCCAGGATGCCTGGAATCGGTATATGGAAACGGGAAATTTCACCAGGCGAGTGGGTTCCGGAAGAAAACGGAAGACAAATGCAATTGACGACCGCTTTATTGTCCTGAATACTTTACGAAATCGTAGAATTACAGCGCTTCAGAATCAACATCTGCTATAGGCCGTGAGTAGAAGTCAAGTTAGTGAGAGAACAATCCGTCGAAAACTAAAAGAAAACAGCTTGTTCCCAAGGAGGCCTGCCACAGGACCCCAGCTACTTCCAAGACATTGTCGAGCACGTCTTCAGTTTGAGCCTTTACATGGGAATTGATATATTGAGCAATAGACTAAAGTTTTTGTTGAGGCGTTTGTTTTAAAGCAGCGTATCTCCAATACAAACAGAGATAATGTCGTGATTAAAAAATCAAAATGCTCAGAAACGATGAGGCTACAATGTGATTTGATTTAGCACTAGCTACTACAGCTGCTGCACCCTACAGGGTGTTACAAAGTTCGGGCAAAAAACTTCGTCTTATTGTTGTGCCCTGTATATGCTCAAAATAAATTCGGAATAAACATTTCTGACGTAGCATCCGTTAAGAAGGAATTGATTTAGAATTTAAAAGAAAAATCATCAAAATCTAATGATTGGTTCGCGAGAAATCCAACTTTGAAACTGAGACTAGTTTTTAGCGGCCGGTTTTTTTTTTGCCGGTGAGTGTATTAAACCTATAGAAAAATCATTAAAAGTTAGTGTGCACGTCATCAAAATATCTGACGAATGCACTTTGTAATGTTGCCACGGCTACTTTTGACTTTTGACAAATGTCAAATAAAATTTGTAAAGATCTATGTACTTACTTTCAATAAAAGCCGCAAAACTTAAGCTACAATATGAATTTTTAAAAGGGTCTCGGAATGATATATTTCCTGTTCAAAATATTAGAGCGTTCAAAATATTAGAGACATAATGGCTAATCCAACTGTCTAGCGGTTTTGGTATTTTATTGCAATGACAATCGCAGTTTTAACTAAACAAAACGCATATTTAAGTCTAAATTTGCCAAAGAAAATTCAGAATAAGAATGAAAATATAATAGTATAGTAATTAAATAATTATATGTAATTAGTAAGATATAATAAAATCGAAAATGACACAAATATCAGATTTGCCATGAATACCAACATAAAACACCTTTGTTTTATGTCAATTCGTTTACAGGATGCGACAACCAGTAAACGAATTGGATATAATAATAAGATTATATAAAAAAGAAAAAGTGAGCTTTAAATTTCAAAAAAGATATTACTGGATTTTGTTCAATATTTTATTTTTATCGACGACGTTTCGACATTATATGTCTTTTTCAAGTCTCTTGTACGTAGATTCCTACAGAATTAAAATTATTTAAAACTGGACAAAAGCACAATATCACATATTAAAACTATTATTTTAATTGTTTAGGGACATCACACTTAAGAATACAGCACGTAATTCTGTAGGAATCTACGTTCAAGAGACTTGAAAAAGACATACTGTCGAAACATCGACAGTATATGTACGACAATAAATAAAATAATGAACAAAGTCCTGTAACATCTTTGCAACCCCAACGACCTAAAGCCAAGAATAAAAAGAAAAAAATATATAGTATACCAGGTCAAAGAAACGAAACAAAAAAAAAATATTTGAGATTGAGTTTAGTAATACTTTCAACGTCTTTGATGACATGCACGCCAACTTTTATTAATTATGTATTAACTATTTTTTTTATTGAAAAATTAATCAAAGTACCTACTTGCTTTGGAAATTCGTGGCTTTTTTAGGCGTTACAGTTTGTTTCACCTATAATGCTGAAAATTGTCATACTTGTGAAAAATTATGACAGAAACAACTTTTTTACAATATGGTTTTTCAAAATTCCACCATTAATTTTTTTATACTAATATCGATAGAGACACTTAGCTGTGAAAAATAAGTTAAATTTTATTATGTATTTTTAATCCAATGCAATGCAAGAGCTATATTGAATCTCGAAAAAATATGACGCCGATTTTATCTCCGACACTGTACACATAATGTGAATATATAATAAATCAATATTGAACGATTACAGGTAGATTTTAAAAACTGCGAATTTTGATAATTTATTTCTCAGTTATAGATAACCATATAACTATATCTTGCATTGGCCTTTAAAAGGGCTAAATCCATTGTAGCCTAAATAAAATATGTTTGAAATTACTTTATTGGAAAAAACTTTCTTTAACTCTTGCTATTAAAATTTTATTATTATTAAAACTCGTCGATACATTAGCAATCTTACACATTTGAAATTATAGTAGATTAGAAAACAAGAATTTTTTATTCTATTTTTTTACTTATATTTGAATAAATCAATTTTTGATACTAAACTTACGTGCATAGAAATCGGCCCACTGTGAACTTATATTTGAATAAATCAATTTTTGATACTAAACTTACGTGCATAGAAATCGGCCCACTGTGAACTTTTGGTTTAACTGTGTCTTTTAGAATCTATTTATTAGAGCAAGTAAAAAATATGAGCTGTTTCAAAGACAATTTAACATGCTTTAATATGAGCATAAATTTATCCAGGGTACTTATCGTTTATATGCGTACCAATGGGTAAACAAATAAAAGATATTTGTGTTGCGGTGACAATAAGAATAACAAACTTGTCAAATATTGCAATTACTACCTTTGTAATCGAAATTTTCACATTGTTCTTTTATTCTTTGATTAGTTGTGTTTCAATTTAATGCATACATCACCGGAAAAAGCCGCCCAAGTAATCGCTTTAATCGAAAATGGACTTAAACAGAGAGCTGTAGCTCGGCAACTACATATGACACGCGGAGCGGTTCGAAGAGTGTGTGAATGATATGAGGAGACTCAATCCTTTCGTAGTTGACCTGGAACTGGTAGAAAGAGATATACAACAGATCGTAATGACCGCTTTATTGTGTCAACAATGCTAAGAAATCGGCATCTTAATGCTATTCAGGTGCAACAACAGCTCCGTGAAACACGAGGAGTGACTATTAGTCGTTGGACATTAAGACGAAGATTGAAGGAAAGTAACATGACCCCCAAAACACCCGCAATTGGTCCAAAACTTACCCCAGCTCATCATCAAGCACGCTTGCGTTTTGCACTGGAATATCTGCATTGGACACTAGAACAGTGGGAATCTATTTTATTCTCAGATGAAACGTGGATATGCCTCTATGGTAGCGACCAAAGAAGAAAAGTGTATCGGAGGCCAGGTGAGCGATTCGCAGAATGCTGCATTGAGGAGCGGATTGCTTATGGAGGTGGTTCCTGCATGATCTGGGATGCAATTTCTATAACTGCGCGAACCGACCCAGTTTTCATCCGTTGGGGCGACCGTCGGCACGGGAGAGGAGGTTTAACTGGTGCTAGGTATATTGAGGGGTTTTTAGCAGTTCATGTGGTACCTTACGTTGACTACATTGGAAACGAATTCACATTTATGCATGATAATGCGAGGGCACACACATCAAGAATCGTACACGATTACATTTCAGAAGTCGGATTTCGGGTTATGGAATGGCCAACATGCAGTCCAGACTTAAACGCGATAGAACATTTATGGAGTGAGCTAAAATGAAGAATTCGTACTCGACGAAGAGCCCCAACTTCTATCCCAGTAGAAGAAGAGTGACTTAACATCCCGCAAGAAACAATATCAAATTTCATCGAATTTATGCCAAATCGTATGAGAGATGTTGTTAGAGCAAGAGGGGGTGATACCCATTATTGAAAATTTAGTTTAGTTTATTGTCCATAAATAAATAAATAAATAATAACATACCTCTTGGTAATAAAAAACGATAATTTGTTTCATGCATTAATTTAATAATTTTAATCCAAAGAAACCAAAATACAAATTAATATCTCTAAACTCTTTTCAAAGAATATGAAATTGTCTTTCAAACAGCATGTATTTTTTCTTAATCTGACAAATAGATTCTAAAAAATATATAGTTAACTTTAAAAGTTTGTCTTGGGCCGATTTCTATGCACGCAAGTGTATAATACATACCATTCTGGTCACTTCATCTGCGTGGTCTGTATTTTAATGCATGTGACAGAGATAAATATAAATGACCGGTTGACAGACAAAAAGACAAAGAAACCGGGACAGTGTTCCCGGTTTTTAAGATTGATTTGATGAAAATGTGTGTAGACAAAAAACTATTTTACAAACTTTCATATATGAACTACTGAAATGAAGATAATATATCTAGGCTAAATATAACCTATTACAGCTGAAGTAAAATGAGTAACTAATTGTGAAAAATAAAGTTCCAACCTTAAACAGCCGCTACACTATTCCCGAAATGTTTCACGAAATATTTCTGGAAAAAAAATATTTTATGAAATAGCACGAGGCAATCAAGGTCAAACGTTGTTTTGGCTCCAGAAAAATAAGTAAACATGGAAAAACTGATACTTATGAAAATAGTTACTGATGGTAAATTAAATTAGCTAATCCTATTATTAATTACTTTATACTAAAAAAGCAGTGGCTTATAATCCACGGTATTGCACCTCATTAACAATATATATATATACAGAATTATTTAAAAAATCGTCTAATTATTTATTATTTCTGGTTATGGTAAAGTAACATTTAAACTGTAGTCTGTAGCAATGTTTAGTTTACTAATTTGGTTTTGTTTTTCTAGTTTTAATTGTCTAAATCCCTGTAAAAGTATCGTTTACAGATTTCTCGTAAGAACAATAAAAGAACATGGCTTTTAAATAATATAATAATAATAAATATATATATATATATAATATATAATATATATATCCCATATATATATATTGATATATATATATCAGTATTACTCATATATATAATACTACTATTATATTAATCAATTAAATCCTTTGCCTCCGATATAGATACCGCCACGTTTTGGAAATAGCTCAAAACAAAACAAAATTGAACGAGGCAACAAAATATATATATATATATATATATATATATATATATATATATATATATATATATATATATATATATATATATTTATATATACAGGGTGTTTCAAACAAATGCGAAAAACTTCAGGGGGTGATTCCTTGTTCAAAATAAAGGGTAGTTTGCTTCATAAACGTTGGGTCAAAAGTCAACCATTAGGAAGATATCGCGGTACAAAGATGGCGGAAAAATAATGTTTTTATTTTTTATCTTGAAAACGAAAAGAGATAGACTAATGAAATTTTATGGAAGCATTGCTGTTATCAAAACACCCTTTCTGGTAATTTTTTAAATTTTTTAAAATGAATGGAAGGGGTTGAAATAAACTACCCCTATCATTCTTGTTAACGAAATTTAAAGAAAAATCTTATCAAACACATGCAAAAAATTAATTTGGGTAGTTTAGTTTGTTTAGAAACTTTTTTATCTCTTGTATTTTTTTGATAAAACTCACCGATTTGAAATTAAAAAATAAAATGTAAAGCATTACATGTCAGGACAAAAAATATTTTCTGATAAAGAATCTAGTGGGCTGCTGTAATTTTTTTAGGAAAAAATCTAGTCGGCCGCTGTTACTTTTTAGGATGTTTCTAATATTATTTTATTTGACATTACTCTACTGCAATAGGTTATTATCTAGATGATTATTATTATCGTTATTATCACTAGATTCTTAATCTAAAAATGTTTTTTGTCCTGACATGTAATGCTTTACATTTTATTTTTTAATTTCCAATCGGTGAGTTTTATCAAAAAAACACAAGAGGTGAAAAAGTTTCTAAACAAACTAAACTATCCAAATTAAAGCATTTGCATGTGTTTGATAAGATTTTTCTTTAAATTTCGTTAACAAGAATGATAGGGGTAGTTAATTAACGAAATACCATCGTAACAACAGCTATTTTAGAAACGTCTAGGTTTACTTATTTCGCTGAGATTTATGAAAAAAAAAATCCTTTGCCTCCGATACAGATACCGCCACGTTTTGGAAATAGCTCAAAACAAAACAAAATTGAACGAGGCAACAAAAAATCCCGTCTCGCTCTCCTCACGAGTAGTTTTCAGGCGCTTTTAAGAATCGAAACTAGGTTGAGGCAAACTGAAGTAGGTCAAGACAACTGGAAATAAATCGAAATGCGTTAAAGTTGGGCGACGAAATGCGACCTTGACATGTTTCGGGTCGTTTCTGGCATAGTGTGTATGCTGTTTTAGATGCAACATTTTTCATGAAATTTTTATGCAAAATTCGGCAATACCGCATAGAAGAAATGTATCAACCCAACTTTTGTCTCTTTTTAACACATTTGATTTTTCATTAAGCTGTCGACATTACTGTGTTACATGTTAAAATCCAGACCACGCAGTTTCAGTATTAGTAAGCATACAGTTTCATAACTCCTAAAAATGTATATTTTAAAATATTTTTGAGCATGCATTTATTTAATATTATAGTCGAGATTATAGTTGTAATAATTTCTCTGATTTATATTAGATTCCTATTGTTTTTTAATAATATCATATTATAACAATGATTTTGCATGATTTATCTTTTAATTTAAATTTATTTCATGTAGCTATCAAACTGTTGAGAATAAAGTAGAACAGGTTGCTAAGGCTGTTGCAGACGCTCCGCTGTAAGTAGCTTAATATAATAACACAATTCATTTACACATGTTTTTTATAAATAATATGCACTGCATAATAAGATAAAGTATACTGCCAAAATAGTTAATAAGATATTTTACTAGAAGTATAATTATTATCTAGTTAATTGATAAATATGCAAAAAAGGTTAGCTAGAATCAAATACGCCACAATTAAAAATTACATTCAATATAGTTTTTTCTTTTAATCTTCGTAGTATATGCCTAAAGTCTTTTCAAAGATTCAGGGAACATTGCGACAGCCGATATCAAAAAAAAAAAAATGACAGAATAAGCAGGCCGTAAAAAGAATAGGCTGTAATTGCCCAGTGTTATAGCTTGCTAAAATGCCTATTTAGTATGGTGTATAATAAATACTAGAGAAAAAATACTATTTTTATAAAAAAACTTAGATTCTATTTAGATTGAAAAATAAAGAATCACTTACAGAGAAAATATACATAGGGAACGTTCCCGTAGAATAATGGTCTCTTTCACTATATTTTGGAATTAGCATAATTGAATAAAGCAATTAATTCTAGAATTTTCTGCTATCTCACTTTCGAAAAATTTGAAGTCGTTCTTAAGAAAATAAATAAAAACAAAAAAGCCCAGAATAAAAATCCGCACTTTATTTTTAATACGTCACACCTGGCATGTTGAAAAGCGGCAACACGGCCGGGCCGCCATGCTGACCCACCACCACCTCCACACAAGGCTATTCAACCTTTTCCAATATGGCGGACATAGAAGTGCTTTATTTGGCGCGTATTTTAAAACCTGTCTTATTTCCAAATAGACATTTTTCACACAAATTTCGGGTTAGATTACATAATATTTCACTAATTTTTTAATATACAGGGAGTCTAAAGCTCTCCACATAAGTATGGAATTTTTTGTATTATTACTTTTATGAAAACATCAGTTAGTTACTTTTTATAAAAAGGTCTGGTTTCTCAGAACCAGACCTTTTGAGGCATATTTAATGCACTTCTTACCCGAGAAGTAGTTCTCGAGTTGTACTAGTAGTAGTAGGAGTGAAATTATCTCTTTTAATAGCTGTCAACCATTTTTTACGAAGCTCGTCATTTTTGGGGAATATAAAAGCAGAAACCTTGGGACCCCCTCTATAATTCTCGTGACAATTTGGAACAGAGCATGTAAAAGGTATGCTACAATAAAATGTTAATACCTACCCTTTAATACCTATCTTTTGATTATTGTAAGTAACCATTATAAAGTACTATGCAGACTGGCGGTGAAGGCTTTTTACTCATTTAGGTGTAATATCTTGATAAATACTTCTAGTTCTTACCTTAAAATAATTAATAATAGAGGAGTACGACAAGCACATAAGTTTGAAGTTTACACTGTTATTTTATCACAATTTTCTGATCACACCATGCACTGAACACTAAGAACTAAGCAAACGTGTTGCAGAAGCACAACAAACTAGAGATAATTAATTATTTCTGGTATGCAATCGGAACGAGAAACCACTACCGGCTTTTCAGTTTAAAGGTATATAACTTAATAATGCGCTGCCTTCGCCACCATATTTGCCTTGCCCATATAATTTTGATTGGCCTTGAGTTGAGGTGGTGCTGGTTATATCAAATCGCAATGTTGCCAGTTGTTGGCTGGCGCACGAGCACGGTTCTGCAATATAATTGGGCGTATTTTTCATACGTCATCAATTGGCGCTTGAAAATTATTTCAAATTAAAGCAATTTTGAGGGCCTATAAAAAAATTATTCAATGTCATGGAACTATTTTTTTTTGGATAAATATACTGAAAATAGTCTTCTATTTCAGATTTTGTCCTTGAATTGGGTTTTTTATTTTTTGTGAAAGAGCCCATTGAAAGTTTGCGAACGTTCCCCCATCATGAATAGGTAATAGTGACTTTCTTATAGTACAACACTATTATTTTCTGTCAGTTTTCTGATGTAGTTTGTCGAAATACTTTCTTCTTTGCTGGATATACTTTAGAAATTATATGATTAACACGAAATGTAATTCTGGAATATATTTTAGATACCAAAAAACTACATCGATCCTGGGAGGAATTACTGGAAATATTTCGAATAAATTAGGACAAATGCGGCACTCTGAATCATTCCGTTCATTCGAAGAAAAAGTGGGAAGCGCATACGAAAATGTTAAGGTAATTATTTTATTCCATTTGAAAATATTAGAAAGGGGTAATTATTTGGAAAAACTGGAAATCGTCCATTTTTCACAAAAATTTGTGTGCACCCAATTTTGACGGTTTTCAGAAAAGTGAAAGTTTATAATATTGATTTTTTCTTAATTTAAGCTATATAACGTAATAATTTCGTTATATTTTTATTATATTATAGTTTATATAAAAGCCACTCTTGATTAGGGATAGAAAAATATACAAAATTTGGCTGAAAAACACTTTTTTTAACAAAATAAATAAAGAAAATTGCCACCAAAAATGACAAGACGGAAATTTGACATTTCATGTATCCTTTTTTCTCTCTCCAATGCAGTGAGAGAGACAACTATAATAATTATAAAAATCTGAAATTTTGCAACGTTGCCATATCTTATACTTTTTCGGTTGTTTGGGGGATTTTAATAAAATGAGTACAAGTACATATAATAAATACATAGGAATAATTATAATTAACACTAATTACCCAAAACCCAACATACCACCCAGCACACAATCTAATTTTTTTTGCCTATCATGGTCAGTAACATTTTCTCATGTAAGTATATATTCAAACCTACATTAATTTCAACGATATCCTTATACAATATGTTAAAAAAATGATATGAGAAAAAAATGGCGTTAGCGGTGGCTATGAAATGAAAATGGTTGCTATTTTATATGTAAAATTATATGGGGAATATCATCGATGCCCATTTCCAAACCAACTGGACGCTGTTTTTTTTTAATTAATTTTCTTAATATTATGTGCAGATTGATTTGTTTTTTTTTGGTTTAGTTTGTATTTTTTTGCTTGGAAATGCGGAAAATAATTTTCTTCTCTATTAATCTGGGTGTCCATTAAATTTAGATTTGGCAACATAGCTCTAAATGTCGCTAACATGTGACCTAACATATTAAAGGTATTTTTGGATTTTTTGAAAAAACGGTAAAAGACCGCTAAAAAAAGTTCAGATTTGTAATATACAACCTTAAAATAGAGGTGTATACACATTTTTATGAAAAAAGGACGATTTCCAGTTTTGCCAATGGAAACATAAGCAATTTTATGTTTAGGGAAAAGTAATTTCTCGTTCTGGTTCTCAGCAAAGTTTCAACGAAGACGGCCGATCCAGGTCTGGATCAGTAGCAACGAGTCCATCCATTCCAGAAGAAAAACCTATTGCCTAAGCGGGGTACTATTTAGTAAGTAAAAGTATTTCTGGTTTTGGTCATTTTCGCTGGAATCAATAAGTACATAATAATATTGAGGCATTTAATAGAAAACGAGTTATATTCTGAAAAAATGTACCAAAACTTGAATAAATCATTATTTCAACTCAATTTCTCAACCAATGAGCGCCTTCAAAACTTTCTTAGAAACTATTTGTCGCTAGTTTTCATTAGTGTCAAAGCAGTTTAATATATTTTAATGGTGAATATGAAATAATCTTGGTAGTACTTAGTACTGTAACTATTATTTTACCATTTAATGATTTAAGATTATATAAAACAGTAAAATAGATTTTTTTACACTAAATTAAGAACCTTGCCACATGTTTATTGATATTTATTTTGTGTTTGTACACAATCCAAATTTTTAAATTGGAAAAAAAGTATTTGTATGTTTCATATCAATGATTGAATGAAGTAAGAAAAAAGGCTTCAGTACTTATCTTTACCTGTTTAGAATTCAAGATAAGTATGTGTTATTACAGATACATCTTTGCTGATGCCTTTTTTTAGAAAGTCTAAATATGTCTCATTAATTTTTGTCACCTACTATATATGAAATACTGGACTTATTTAAGATAATCAATATAAATGTATTAATATGTGCTTTACAAATAAAGTTTTATAATCTATTTATGTGGCTTGAGGTGGTAAAATTAATGAAGACAAAAATAAGAATTTATACCTACTTTGGAAGTAGTTACTTTAAGATTTATCATGGTATAAACTACTGGATTGTCAGTTTCCGTACTTGTAGAATTTTTAATTTATTTCTTATTGGAGAGGAACAAGAGAATTAGGCCTGTAACCTATGTAAATCTGAGAAATTTCTAATATTTCAAGATATTTTTCTCGTGTATTTGAATACTATATGTAGTTTTACTAATAAAATAAATTATTTTAAAAAATAAATACTTGTTTTATTTATTACCTATGATATTACTTAAATTAACATAATCAGTACTGAATAGAATATTTGTTATATTTTACAAATATCTCTCTTCCTATTTCATTAAAATATCATTACAAATAATACATAGTATAATAAGAAATATAAAATTCAAGAAGGTGCTCAACAAATATTAGAGATATATTAATATTTAATATTATTAACTATAATAACAAAAAATTGAACTCTGGTTATGAAAATAGTGATTGTAGAAATTCATTACGAGTCTCTTTTTTATCTTCATCACTTGCTACTTCTTCAGTACCAATATCATTAATATTTTCAAATTCCTTATTAACCATATCTTTATTTTTCTTTCCTTTGCCCAAATTTGAAGTAAAGAAATTTGACTTCTTCTTTGCTAACTGAATTTCTGCCCTCAGTTTCTTACTTCTTGCGGCCTTTTCGTATGCCAGTCTTTCATGTAAGTGTGTCCATTTGAAATTTGAAAGGTATTTTATATTCCACAGATAATCGTACTGTTTTGATTTTTTTCTGGTACTAACTTGTGTATTATTTAATAATGCTGCCACTCTTTTTGCCACACATTTCTTTTCAAATTCTACCCAACCTTCAGTAAATTTTTTTGCAGGTTTACGCTTTTTCTTCTTTGCATCTTGCAACTTAGTCTCTGAAAATGTAATGTAGTAAGAAACAATTATTATTCCAGTATTTAATTGGCATTATAATTAATATACCTTTGTCACTCAATTGTAAATATACTCGTCCGAGTTTCCCAAATTCACTGAATACTTCCCTAATTTTGGTAACATTCATATAAGGCGGAATAGTCGATAAATAAAGGATGCCTCGTTTTGATGGCTTGTGAACTTTCTTTTCTTCCGGATGTTGGCACGAGGCTGAAGCACTTTCATCTGTTACCATTATATTAAAGTACTTTTTAACAAAACTTTAGAATAATTTCTAGCAAACTGAAAGCACTATTTTTCTAAAAAAGGCGAAAAGGATACTCCAGTCGATTTCTGTTTATAGGTTTATAGCTGTCTGAAATTGTGGTTAGAATTAACATCTTCTTCTTACTTCTTAGAAAGTAAGGCTCAAAATCATTCATTCTCATTCCTCTCTAATCAGAGATATAGAGGGATGCCTAGTGTGTATGTGATCATATATAAATATTCACTTCATTTTTATCTCCTTAATTTATATAATCAGGCTAAATCTAAGCGCCAACCCTGGGCCTATTTGACATTTGTCATAGAAAAATGAGGTTATTAAAATTTTACGTCAGAGTGATATGACATTTCATTTCATTATCCTTAAAAAAACAACAATAGATAAGCTTGTATTCACATATTTTAGTATGATTCACGATATTTTTAAATAATTCTAATATTTTTGTACAGTCCGTCAGCTTTTCTTTACAAAAGTGTAACATAACTGGAAAACTATAATGGGTCTTTTTGGCAATGCTACCGATGCGACGATTCAAGACGAAGTTGGTGAGTCATTTTAAAGTTTACAATAATAACTAGTTTAGATTTTAGATATTTGTTGTATGGAAGAATTCTAATCTTTACTTAGTATATTTTATTTTCGAATGAGGCATATATCGAGCATCTATATTTTATTGTTAAAAGTAGAAAGTTTTTATTGGTAAATTGACATTGAAGTGAGCTCCTATACCAGTTCTGTTATTGTGTATTTAATTATCATTAACAATCGTTAATATCATTTTGTTAAACACAGCATTTGACCCTCATGTCAAATCACTCAGTAACTTTTAACTGTTGTAATTTTTAATAGATTGTTCAGTTTATATTCCATTTATACTTGCTTTTCATTACATATTATGTGTATAGGTATAGTATTTCCAGAGTCAGTTTGGTTTGACTGATTTGGAGTTCCTAAGTTCGGCACTGCCTTTGTCGGTATCTAGTAATGCACGAGACTGGTATTGGTCTTGGTTTTGCATAAAAAGTAAGACCAAGACTAGCCACTGATCTGCAACACTTCTACAAGACTGCAACCAAGCATGCAAGAATCCTGCGGTATTGCATATTTTATCAATATTTATATGATATAAAAAATGACTTATTTATTAAAATAAAAAATAAGTAAAATTAAATTAATTTTTATAAAATTATAGTTTTAATTCATTACAAATATTATTTTCCCGACTATTGCATAAAATTTTAAAGGAAGAAATGCTGATTGAATATATATTGGAAAATAAAAAAATTCGTCTCACAAATATATTCTAATAATTTCTTTTACTAAAAATACTATTTAACCCAGATATTACTGAAACTTTTATTTTCATTTTTCCTTATAAAAATTTAGAGGCGTTTTAGATAAGCTATTTGAAACACTTTTTTCTTATAAATATTTTTATTTTAGATAAAAGATTTGGATTTTTTACTAAAGTTTTGAAAATAAAAATTTAAAAAAAAATCCATAATTATTAAAACACTCTACCGAACATTTTTTGTATTGGGCAAATTATGATTTAAAACCTCCTTCCATATCTAATTTGCTTTCAAAGTCAAAGTTTCCGTTAAAAGGCCGAGAACCAATGCATTGACCCTATGTCTTATTTTGAGTACAGGTTCTAATTGCTTATTATTTTTTTGTTTAATATTATAACAGAACGAGCCACAAGTGATAAATTGGTTGAAGATGATTGGGGGTTGATTATGAATATTTGTGATAAAGCTGGCAAATCTAGTGAAGATGCTAGAACATGGTTAAGGGCTATAGTAAAAAGACTATATAATTCTGATCCTCATGTTGGAACAAAAGCAGTAACAGTACGTTCTCTTATTTAAAGCAGTTTTTTATAATTTGTTTACTTATGTAAATACAATGTTGATATATAATTTAGTGAAATTTTTATATAATGCATTTAAATAGCATATATTAATGTGTTCTAGGTTTTGGATGCTTGTGTAAAAAATTCGGGAAAAACATTTCATATAGAATTGGCATCCAGAGAATTTGAAAACGATTTTACAAAATTAATGTCAAAAGGTCACAGTCACGTTGCCAAGAGGCTGAGGGAATCTTTGAAGAAATGGGCTGAAAATGAATTCAAATCAGATGGACAGCTTACACTCATTCCATCTTTATACAATAAACTTAAAACTACTTACGATTTTTCATCTTCAGATACTGTATGGTCATACTTTTACATAATGTATCATTGTTTAATTTTATAATTATTTTTAGCCTGTAAAGAGAGCAACAGCCAAGTCTAATGACCCAGACGTGGTGGAATCGCAGGAAGAAGAGGCTCAGATTTTAAAGGCAATAGAGTTGTCTTTGAAAGAGACATCAGGTAAAAGTTTTTAATAAAAAAAATGAAAGCCTAATAATACATTATAATTATTTAAAGGTTCTCCAAGAAATACAAGTACCGCAAGCTCATCTCTATATCCTTCTGTTAATATTCCCACAGCATCATCTAATGTGAATAGTACAGCTCCAGGTAAGGAACCTAAAAAAGTCAGAGCATTGTACGACTTTGAGGCGGCAGAGGATAACGAATTAACTTTTGGATCAGGCGAAATAAGTAAGTACATTATACAGGTGTCCCAGGCTAAGTGTGCATTAGAAGTGTCTACAGAACTACAATATCTAGATTGGAGATGTTTTGCACATCATTGTTTCGCAATATGATCTATCGCTTAAAAATATCAATATGGCGGCACTTCCAGATATACCAGAAGTTGACAGGAACTTTATTATTTTAAATGATTTTAGATTGATGTTAAACACTCTATATCTAACATTAACCATTTTTGAGAAAAAAACATTCATTAAAATTTTTGGGCAAAAGAAAACTGCCAGTTAAAATAAATTGTATAGCCTTAACGTAAAATTTAGAAACTACAGTCACTGTGACATAAAAAGAAGACATGTGGGTATCTATTTTAAAAATTTAATTTTTCATAAAAAGGTTAAGTTTATTATAAAAATTTATAATATTCTACAGAAAATTCAAGTATGGTAATCGTAAAACATTTTCTGATGCACGTTATCACATCGACATTGACACTAAAGTCTATAAACCTGACTACCTGTGTAAAGGGATGGAATCATAGCCAGTAAAATTAAGTGTAGTTTAATACATCTATTGAGTGAATAATCATAAATTAGTACAAAAGTAATACGGTGTTGACGAAATGCTTACAAAGCATTATTGCATATTTCGCAAAGAGCGATGAACCCCCGAAACTGGTTCTCGTCAATATGCAATATTAATTACTATGCAAATAATAGAATCTTGTTATATTGTTTAATTATTAATAAATATAATAAATATAAGTTTAGAATGATGCCCAATTCTTGATTCCTTACATCACCCCCTTTTAGAGAATGACCTTCACTATGGCCACTTGTGAAGGGCATTCAATAAGAGAGTAGCAAAATAATATATATTTTTTTTTTAATGAAATGTTACTACTTATGGGAACATGAATAAAGTATCTTAACACAAAATAAAAATAAAATAATCTGGAATACATATTATAATATTTAGTTATAAAACCTAAACCAAAATAAAAATACCTAACCAAAAATAAATACGTAAATACCTAATGCTACACAATAAAATTTAACTATACGACGGTACAGTACTTGTTGCAACATTGCATCACCGAACCAACAGCAATAATTTATTGTCCTTCACTGCTTATTACCCTTAAAAATATGCCTACTATTCATATTATACTAATATTACAATATTGAAAATTATACAATGCCTAAGGTATACAAAATATTATTAGTTAATTAATGTATTTCCGCACTCGGTTTTTATGCACCTTAACTTCCTTACCCTAGAATCTTTTATAATACAATTTGGACCTTCTATGTCAATAATTGGAAAAGGCCCTTTGTACCAAGAGTCAAATTTATGTCGAGCTTCGTTTGGTATTGTAACAAAATCACCAGAGCGTAGGTCTATTAAATTTGAATTAGGGTCAAGTTGACCTTTTCGATATAATTTCGATTCTTTAAGATACTCTCCATCTCTTTTATGAGCCAGTTGAAGTCTGTACCTAAACTCCTGGTCGTAAGCATCAATATTATATAAAGGATCAACACTTATCAGTTTCTTTTTCTGAGAAAGAATTATAGTAATATTTTTTAAAATTTTAAGGCCTGTTTCTTTAAGTTTATTTATTGTGCACAAATTAAAAATATCATCACCTAGGTTTAATTTTAGCTTACTTATGCTTAAATCACCAGCAGTAATTTCTAGCTGAGACAACAATTGCTCTAAGTCAATGTTGCCAGTTGTGATTTTAAATACCTTTTGAGCTTTAAGTCTGTTTTTGTACCTAATAAGCATCCTAAGATGATTAGATCTAACGACTTGAAAGTGTAATGAAGGTAATTTTAAAACTTCAGTATTATTTACTGTTTCGTATACTTTTGGGTTTACTGTTTTTATTTGATTTGGTACCGATTTTTTAGCTACTATATCGTTTTTTCTAGTCATGGATCGGGTAATTGCCAAAATTTGTGTGACATTATCGCGAACCTCCTTGAGTTCGTTAATACTAATTCTACTAAGAGCATCCGCGCAAACGTTTTGTTCGCCTTTAACGTACTCAATATCAAATTGGTACTCCTCGAGGTCTAAATGCATTCACGTAAGTTAAGATGATAGGTTCTTCATCGAAAATAAATAGACAAGGGGCCTATGATCAGTGCGTACTAAGAATTTTGTACCGTAAATATAACAATGGAAATATTTAATAGCCCAATGGATTGCTGATAATTCTTGTAATATTGCTGGTTTATTAGATTCCCCCTTTGTAAATGCACGTGACGCATAAGCAATCGGCAGGTCATTACCATTAAAATTTTGTGAAAGAACTGCAGCACATACAATTTTTGAAGCATCGGTTGTTATTATAAAAGGTTTTTTTAAAATCCGGATACTGTAATATTTGTGGTGAAATTAAAGATTTGTTCAGTTTTTGAAATGAATTTTGACACTCTTCCTACCATTGAACAGCAACTTTTTTCCTGGTTAATTTATTAAGAGGTGCAGTTATTTCTGCGAAATTAGGTATAAATCTACGATAGTAATTTGTAAATGCGACGAAGCGTTTGACTTCGTCAGCAGATGTAGGAATTGGATATTTGTTTACGATGTCATATTTACTATCATCTGGTGGCCTTCGCTAGTAATTTTGTGATCTAGGTACGTGACCTCATTTTTGAAAAATTTGCATTTTTCAGGATTTAATTTTAAATTGTATTTTCTGCATGTCTGAAATACTTTATACAGATTGTCCAAATGGTGGTTTTCCGAACAGCCGATTACTATGAGATCGTCCATATACAAAAATGCTCTTTCAGGAGTGATGCCGGCGAACGCCATTGACATCATCCTCTGAAAACTATTAGGACTTATAGATAAACCAAAGGGAAGTCGAGTAAACTGAAAGGATCCAGCATCTACGCTAAATTGAGTGACCTCCCTAGACTCTTCACTAAGGCCTACTTGATGAAACCCACTTATAAGATCAACAACCGAAAACCAGCGAGCTCTTCCTAGTTGGTCTAATATATCATCAATACGAGGAAGGGGAAACTTGTCCGCGATGAGTTTTTTATGTAATTGCCGAAAATCTACAACTAACCGCCACGTTTTTTGACCGTTCACTGATTTTTTAGGTACTAACAAAACGGGGTTATTATATTCCGAGTTAGATGGTTCTATAATATCATGATCAAGCATTTTTTCGACTTGCCTATTTATTTCTTGTTTTTGCGTGTAAGGTGTCTTGTAATTTTTAATATACACCGGTGTATGGTCGCTCAGCTTAAGTTTCTGGTGGTAAAAATTATTTATTGTTACCTTATCAGACTCAGGAGCAAATATGTCCGAAAATTCTGAACATAGGTTAATGAGTTTTTGTTTTACAAATTCAGGCACATCGTTGATGTTGAGCTGCTTCATTACATTTGACGCTCTCTCTTTTGTCTGGGTTTCTACATTGTAAATATTAAATTCTGTTAAGTTTGTTGTTTTTAATTGAATATTGTGTAAAATTACATTTTTATTGGTTGTGTTAATAATCTTTACGACAGGAAATTCAGCTGAAACGATTGTTCGTGCGACACAAACGCCAGGGCTTAACTCGTCATTTTCAACTAGAGAATCTTCTGTTAAAAATTTTAGACTTTTTATTTCTCGTACTACTTCGCACCTGGAAGGAATGATAATAGAATCATTGTTGAAACTGTCTTGAATGGGAATTACTAAATTAATTTTATTTAATCTTATAGTCATCGTCCAATCAAAATAATTTAGATTGCATTTAAATTTTGAAAGAAAATCTCTACCTAAAATTGCATCGGTTGGAATGGGAAATGAAGGTTCTACTATATGAAGCATAAAATAATTAACTAGAAAGAAGTGTCAACTCTGTGTTAAATCGTGGAAACACGATACGCCACCGAAAGCCTTCGTTGTCGTCTGGAGAACTAATTTTTCAATTGACAGGTTGACATGATAAGGACATGATGGCTTAATTTTCATTTCCGTTTCCGGTTATTCAATGGCGGGCCCTCTTTCAGTTCAAATGTATTTTGTATTTTTTCTTTTCATAAATAAAACCAAAAAATAATTTATTGACATATATTTATTTGAAATATGGAACAACGTAACTAAATAAATATAAAAATATAGAGGATTGTATTGTTTCAATACCAATTAGTTAATTATATGCACTTTTAACGTAAATTAGTTAAGGTATAAGCATGACTTACAGTAATTTGTAAATAAACACACGTATTCGCAGACTTCAAGGACAGAAAACGGACACAGGAACATGAAAACGGGAGCATTATACAAAAACCTGAAAACAGAAAAACAAATTTTTTTATACTAAAATTAACAATGTAAAAATATCAATAGGTATAAAATATAAATATACTGTTTAAAAAAAGCGTCCATTATTCCTAAAGAGATCTGGCTTTTCGGATAACATAATCAGATTATCAGTCCGATTTATTGCATTATTGACAATAAATCGCACATACTGGAGATGTTGGCTATAGTTAAAAATGATCTTACCTTGCTGTAAATTGTTTCCCTTTTCAAAAAAATCGCCGTTCAAAGAGATTGTAACACCATTTTCTTGCATCTAAAAAATGTAAAAACAGTGTTTATTTACTACCTATTTTTCATATACATGGGACATACCTACTACTGCAGAACCGTCATTTTCTCCAGGATTCTTCATGTAATATATATTTTATATACTTTATTACCTTTATATTTATAAATTTCAGCCGAAATATTAAATTGAACTTCCAAAACGAAACTAAACGGAATGAATTAAAATGGCGTCGAATATTTTCTAATTTGTTCTAGAACAAAAACAAATCTGAAGTTGTCTCTGAAACTGAAATCTGTCAATTCTAAATTGTGAAGTTAGACAATAGTTAGACAAAAACAATGCTGTCCTTGTCTAGGCGGCCATACTTGTCGTGAGGAGAATGACAGGAATGACACTAATGACTGTTTCCAATTTTCCTATTTCACTGTCA